TGCCCTCATGGAGCCTAGGAGCCTACATTTTAGTGTTCATATAGTTATAGAACAACTAGAAACAATGGTATCTAAGTAACTTATGCACCATGTTGGAAAGTGATGAAGTGCTATAGAAAAAGAGTTTATGTAAAGAAAGGTAAGGCGTACCAGGATTGGAAGGAGGGGTTAGATTACAATTTTAAATAAGGTACTCATTGGAAAGATGACATATAAGCAAATACTTGAAGGAGGCAAGATTATTAGCCATGGGGATAGCTTGAAGTGAAGGGAACAGCCCGCAGAAAGGCCCTAAGACGGAAATGTGCCCAAGATGGAAAAGAAAGAAGGTCACTGTAGCTAAAGAAGATTGAGTGAGGGGAAGATTAGGTCAGAGGTAATGGTCACATCCTATAACCTCGTATGCCTCTGTAAGGACTTGAGCTTTTATTTTGAGTAAGTTTGAGCTGTCGGAGCATTTTGAGCAGAGAGATAAGAATGATCCAACTTAAATTGAAAACACGCATTCAGACTGCTCTATAAGGAGAGACAGGAAGAAGGCAAGGATAGAAGAAAGGAGACTAGTTAGAAGCTACCGCAGCAATGGGATAGAGGGAAGATAGCAAGTGATGGCTTAGACCAGGATGGTATTCTGGATATATTCACATTTTCAATTTGTCTTTCTGTGCTCTCTCATCTCCCACAGATGCCTCAAGTTCTCAGTGACTCCCTCTTTTTTCCATGGTTACATTCCTCTCTTCTTTTCCCTTCACCAAATATGCAGGAAAACAAAATGTGAGATCACAATTGGTTTAATGTTGCTGATAAACCCCAAATCCAGGGCACTGTTTGACACATCAAACCCAACAGCAGCTTCCCTGTGGGTCAGGAAGAGCCCTTTGGCTGGCACCACCAAAAAGTGTGTCCTAAAAAGGAGAGTGACATCAACAGGAACCACTTCACATCTTGTTTGGGAGCTGGATCTGACCATTAGGAAGAAACCAGGAGAGTGGTGGAAGACCCAAAAGAAAGCTGGGTAAAAAGATGCAGGAGGAAAGAAAAAGAGGGTCTGCAATACATCACAAGGAGGAAGAAGAGGTAAATCCAAGAAAGGAGAGAAGCAGTGGGAATGGTGTGGTAGGTCTGAAGTCTAGGTTTTGTTGGACTTCTCTCCTTCTAGATATGATGTTTCCTGCTTGACCTGGTGATTATTAAAGCTTTGTATTGTAGAGAATAATTGGATGCCATTTCTATTTTTCATAAGATACTAGGAACTAAGTAGGATTTTCTCCTCTGTTTGGTATTTATTGGAGACAGTTCCCAATGATAAACCTTTATGGTTGACTGTATCTTTCTATGTATTTTCCTCACCTCCATAATCTCTCTGAATTCATTCTATGCCCTGCAATAGGTTGTGCCATCAGATGAGAGTTCAGGACCACCAAGTCAGCTGCTTTGGAACCCCACTGGCACCCAGCTTCTTCAGGAAAGAGGTAAGGCACACAGGGTACAATGGCAGGAATCATGGCAACTGAGAAAGAGTAGGGATACAGAATGGGTGGAGAATGCCTTCCCAGGGCCTGAAAATATGTTCATATTGAGCATTTATATAAAGTCTTTTGTAGTTTCCGTGCTACACTTGGATCAGTATCAACAGGAACTAGCTTTCTCCATTTTTGCCGTCATCTTAAATTTGGAAAAGAAAAGAATTTGTAAAACAATTTATCAAAGAAATTGAATAAATTTAATTACTACTGTATGTATAACTTGATGTATATGATAAATAGCATAGAATATTTGTACAAAAATATTTACACTATAAAACTTGTGGTATAATTCACTAACTCCTACCCAATCACAATTTTTCCAACATGTAAAATTTGAAAATATATATTTTTACTTCTGTAGAACTTTTTGGAACTCTAACATTTTAAAATTATAGCATAGATACCTGAGAAAATAAGATAAAGCAGTGGCAAAAGAAGGAGCAAAGGATTTCCCATGAAGCTTGTGCTCTTTGGTGGCATATGTGAAGAAAGTGGTTAAGGTATGAATAAAACGAGCTTGTGGAGGTAGGATCTAGGAGATGGTATTTAGTAATTCTGGAGTCATAATATGAGATTCAAAAAGACATAGACTTTTGTACAGAGGACTAGTGACACCCAAAGCCTTTATAGTATATGTTATCTGCAAAACGAAAGGCAAAATGTATTTCTAGCTATATTGTTGATACTTTTTCCAGAAGAAGAATCCTGAATTGTCTATTGTACAAGGAATCATAAATGAAAATTAATAATATAGAACATTTTATATATTTAGAAGCATAAAATAATAGATATTGGTAAACTGGGGTGCTCATTGTGTTTGGTTTTTTGTTTTGTTTTTGAGTTGGAGTCTCACTCTGTCGCCCAGACTGGAGTGCAGTGGCCGCTCCCAGCCACCACAGCCTCGACCTGCTGGGCTCCGGCAATCCTTCCGCCTCAGCCTTCTAAGGAGCTGGAACTACAGGCGCACGCTACCATGCCCGGCTAATTTTTTTTTTATTTATTGTAGAGATGAGGTCTCGCCAAGTTGCCCAGGTGGGTCTTGAACCCGCAGGCTCAGGCAATCCACTCACCTCAGCCTCCCAAAGCATGGAAATACAGGCTGAGCACCTAGCCCGGCTTGTTTTGTTTTTTTTAATATAAAAATGTAAACACACTTATGATTCACATCTGACCTGACTCTACCAGTTCCCTTTTCTTAAAAGGTCTTGAATTCTCCTCCCATGGTAGATTTTCAGTATTGTAAAATCTACAGTTAACTGATATATAATATAAGTATATTAATCTCATCTCAGAAAATATGTGTATGCTGCCTTAACACATAGTTTTATATTGTTGTTTTTGCATGTATCCTGTCTGCTAAGTTCACTTTTAACTTGAAAGGAGACTGACCTTTCCAATTGTAAATCTAGAAAATGAAACTTAAGAATCACACTGTAAGTTGTCAAACTTTCCACTGCATGAAGAGGCTGTGGTAAAAACTAACAGGATTTATGTGAAGAGCAGTTTGAGTTATATAGGGATATGCTTTTTCGAAACGTATCCAGTGGTGCGCTTAAGATGTACGCATTTCACTATATGTGAATTTTACCTTAAAAAAATAATAATAATGTAAACAAATACTAAACTCCAGTTAATGATACACATACTTAAGTGTTTAAGTGTGAAATGTACTGGTGTTTTCAACTTACCTTGCAATGCATAAAGAAAAAAAAGATTAATGAACAGATAACAGAATAGATGGATAAATATATAATAAAGCAAATACTTCAAAATGTTTGCTGTAAGATGTAACTGGTTGGTATATGGATATTTACTATTCAATATTTTCAACCTTTCTGTGTATTTGAAAATATTCATAATAAAATATTGGTTGGAAAAAACCCGATTGAGAGCTTTAAGTTTGTTATGTTATAAGGAAAGAACTGTTATGTAACATTGCAGGGCAAAACATGTGTCTGCTTGTGAGTTCTGTGCTGTCCAGGTGATTTTAGGACTTTTTTAGAAAAAGAGTTATAAAGGGACTTGGGGCTTTTAGAGTGAGACTATGGAAAAACTGAGGGGAACCACCATTAGTGAGACACAGCCTTCATCTTGGTCAAAAACTAAGTAGTCTAGACCAAAGAAGAGTCTTGGGAAATATCTGTGGGTATAAATCAGTTCAGCTCTAAATTAGGGTTCTGATAAAATCTGAATCATAGTTTTGGGGGCCTGAGACCAAAGGGTGATTTCTAAAGTCTTACCAGTAGATGACTTTGACTCTGCTGGTATCTTTTTTTTTTTTTGAGTTGGAGTCTCACTCAGTCGCCCAGACTGGAGTGCAGTGGCTGCTCCCGGCCACCGCAGCCTCAACCTGCTGAGCTCCGGCGATCCTCCTGCCTCAGCCTTCCAAGTAGCCAGAATTACAGGCATGCGCTACCACGCCCGGCTGATTTTTTTTTATTTATTGTAGAGATGAGGTCTTACTGCCCAGGTGAGTCTCGAACCTGCGGGCTCAGGCAATCCACTCACCTTAGCGTCCCAAAGGCGCGGGATTACAGGCTGAGCCACTGAGCCCAGCTTCAGAAAACAACCATTCAAACTTGAACTTGGGGATGTGTTGATAAACTATCAAGAAGGAAAAGTCTTGTTTCCTGATGTTTTGGTATTAGAAAAAAAAAAAGAAAGATAAGTTGCCTTATGTATTGAAGGTACAGCAAGGTTGAGATGACCTGCAAGGAATAAAATAGGGCCCAATTAATTAATAATGTGAAACTGTACTGCTCCCACATCTGTATGGATTATACCTGGAAACTTGGACACTCTGATAAAGTTTATCTTGTATTTTAAAATGCTATGTGTGCTATACTTCTTTAATGTGGGGAAAGTGGCTTAGTAGTAGGGAATTAGTAGGAGAAAAAGTTCGAAATCATAGAGGAAGAGTAATTCTTCTTTAATAAGAACAAGGAAAAAAGTTCTAGTAAACTAACTGGCGATAGACCAGACATTAAGTTACCTGAAGAAATAAGCTTTGAGCCTATCCCTAATTATTTCTGTTCGACCTCCACCCCCCCAAGCTTTCCCTTCCTCCTTCCACCCAGAGTTTTTTGGAGGAAATGGCTTCAGCATTCAAAACAGAAAAAGGGATTATCCTATAAGCTGAAAGTCAGTGATTTGACCCTTTCTACCTGATCTGTATGGGTAAGGGGTAAAGTTATTCCAGGACAAAGACAAACCAGAGAAACACATATTTGATGAGAGAGGAGGAGAGTATACTTCCAAGAGTTGTCTTGGCTGCCACATCAGGGCTTAATGCCCAGAACTGGAAGCTGAGTTAGAGACATAATGGAGAAGGAGGATACTGTAAGGCAGTAGACTTAACCCCTAAGTTAGAGCTATAGAAGCTTCTACATTCAGAGAAGAGAGGATGAAAGCAGAAGGTTTCATTAATTAATACTGTGCTGAATTGACTCAACTTATTTCTCTTCCCTCCGCTCTACCAATTCCTCAATGTCCTGGCTTCACTAAAGATGGAAACCAAGGAAACCTGTTGGGAGCGGATATCACACTGATGAGCCAGGCCCAGGTGAGCTGGGGCCCCTTTCATCCTTCCTGAAAATATATCATTACCTCCTAAATATGGTTATTTTCCCTGCATTTTCTGACTGTGTAGCTCCCAAATCAAAGTGCTCCCTCTCACAAGGAGCATTTTGTTGGATGACAAACCACTTGTGAGTTGTTTCCTGTTTTATTATCTTTGACTATTGAAAACCCATACCACCTTTCACCTCATTTCCAGATATTTACCAGACAGTGACAACTTTTCAGTTTTGTAAACTTTCTTTCTATAAATTCCTTTCTTCTGCATGTTTCCTGAGGAAACTATGGGATTTTCTCAAGGACAGCAGGGACATATTGTTTCAGGAGTCACTGACATTTGAGGATGTAGCTGTGAACTTCACTGATTGGGAGTGGCAGTGTCTGACCTACACCCAAAGGCATCTCTACAAGGATGTGATGTTGGAAAATTATGAGAACTTGGTATCACTTGGTAAGGACCTTCCTTGCACTTGGCTTAGTTCATTCTCCCTTCCTTTAAAAAAATGTTTTGTTTATTGATGTATATGGGTCTCATACTGAAAGTCAGAGTCCTCATTCTGTATCATCAGGGTCTTGCCCCAAAATTAGAGTTTTAAGTTGCATCTGTTATACAACTAGATGATTTTTTTTTTTTTTTTTTTTGGCTAACCTAGTTACTGTTTTCTGATTCTTTGAAATGAGGCCCTGGCTTTCAGTGAGACAGACCTACTTTAAAAAAAAAAGACATCTACTGAAATGAGGCTCTGCCTGAGTGAAAAGGAGACACTTAACTTCTAGTTTTGGGGATTTTTGCTTCCTCAGGCCTCTCATTTTTTATTAAGTGTTCTATATTCAGCTCCTAGTTGTGAACTGCTTTCTGGGGGCCCAAAACTGAGAGTCTTCCTATACAGACTTCCATTCTCCTAAAGAGTACGAGGAAGTATTATACCCAAATGACTATTTCCCATAATCTCCTCCTCTGATCTTCTAAGTATGACTTTTCTAAGAAAGTTTCTAAACATGTTTTTATTTTTCTTTTCATGTTACCTGACCCCTGAATAAATCCTTTCCTCTACTTAAATGGACATTTCTTTCCTGTCTCCATATACAAACAGAAGGATCAGGGCTAAGTGTTAAGACAGTTCTGCGTTACTCTACACACTCTTATTTCTTCTCTTCAACCAGGATTTCCATTTTCTAAACCTCCTTTAATCTCTCATCTGGAGCAACGAGTAGAGCCCTGTATTCAAGATCTCCAGGACAGGGAGTCCCTTAGCTGCTCCTACCCAGGTGAGTGATAGAGAAGCTTTCAGTTCCCTCTGATCTCCCATGTGACAGAATGGTTATAGAACATTGTTAGTGGTAGGTCATCCATCCCGAAGAGCCCAGAAAGGAAATCCATTTAGGAAAGTTAAGGAAAAGAAAGCCAACAGTAGCAAACTATTTGGGGAATTATTCTGTCATTATCTAATTGGTTTGTTGCAACCTATCTAATAGATTTTTTACAAGTTGACCTTCAAAAAAACCTCAGAAAATTTATCAGCCCTCTCTGTATCAGTGACTCCAGTGCTCAGGGAACAGTAAATGGGAGGAGAGGAGAGTCATCCTAGGCAAAGGGATGTGGGAAAGTTAGAGGAGTAAAAGAATAGGAACTGAGAATAGTTCAGTATAACCAGAGCAAAGGACTTGAGGTAGCCTTGGGAAGATCTATGAGCAATATAAAAGGATAAGATTATGATGTAAAGGACTTCTGTTTATTTTTTGGTTTTTTTGAGGAGTTTTTAATAAAGTACACAACATGAACTTTATTCTTATAATAGCACTTACATTGACTAAAGTACGTCAGTGTGGCAAGTGCCTCACATACATTAACTCATTTAATTATCATGAGTAGTCTGGAGCCCATTTTATAGATAAAGCAACTGAGGCAAGAGAGAAATTAAGTCATCCTCCCAAATTCACATGGTGAATAAGGGTCATAACTAGGATTTGAGACCAGACAGTGTTACTCCAGAGCTACAGCTCTTGGCCACCATATGCTTTACTTCTTTCCTGTTCTGCTAACTCTGGAGTGCCACTGAAATATTTTAAGCTAAAAAGTGATGTGATTGGCCGGGCTTGGTGGCTCAGCCTATAATCCCAGCGCTTTGGGAGGCCAAGGTGAGTGGATTGCCTCTGAGCCTGTGGGTTCGAGACCTGCCTGGGCAACTTGGCGAGACCTCATCTCTACAATAAATCAAAACTAGCCGGGCGTCGTAGCGCAGGCCTGTAGTTCCAGCTACTTGGAAGGCAGAGGTGGAAGGGTCGCCGGAGCCCAGCAGGTCAAGGCTGTAGTGGCCGGGAGTGGCCACTGCACTTCAGTCTGGGTGACAGAGTGAGACTCCAACTCAAAAAAAAAAAGTGACATTAAGTTTTATTTTTAGAAAGAATAATCTGGAAGCAGTATAGAGAATGGATTAGAGGAGAGACAGACAAAAGGACATTTGAGGAGTATAACAGCGAATGAGAATATACTGGCAGTAGAAATAAAGAGGAAGGGGCTGGGCTCAGTGGCTCAGCCTATAATCCCGCGCTTTGGGAGGCCGAGGTGAGTGGATTGCCTGAGCCCACGGGTTCGAGACCCGCCTGGGCAACTTGGTGAGACCTCATCTCTACAATAAATCAAAAAATTAGCCAGGTGTGGTAGCGCATGCCTATAGTTCCAGCTACTTGGAAGGCTGAGGTGGAAGGATCGCCGGAGCCCAGCAGGTCGAGGCTGCGGTGGCCAGGAGCAGCCACTGTACTCTAGTCTGAGCAACAGAGTGAGAGTCCAACTCAAAAAAAAGAAAAATAAAAAGAAATAAAGAGGAAGGCATAGAGTTAAGAGATAAGAAGAAGATTTATTTGGACTCTTTGGTTGCCAACAATAGAAATGAACTCAAGCTAGTGTAAGCAGAAGTACATGAATTTCTTATTTAGAGTATGTCATGGAACCTAAGGGCAGGTATGCATTAGGCTCTAGAATAGACAGAAATGCCATCAGGCTCCTCTCTTCAGCTGTCTTCTCTACTTCTCTTTGAGTCATCTTCATTCCTCTCTTATTGACCTTCTCTTTTTCTCAGACCAGATGGCAGAACATTTCCTCCCCTGTACCAAATAACATTTTACCACTCCTGGTTCTCAAATTTAAGTGTTATTTGGGTACTCTTAGAGTGGCCCTTACTTGCCCTTAGGTCACAATTCCACAGTCCAAGTTAATAGAAGCTGGCCTGGTTTGGGGCAGATATTTCCCAGATCTAATCTGTCCTCCCCAGATGGGCCAGGTCACACAGCAGAAGTATGGCTCTCTAGGGCCCACTCCTGGGAACAAAGCAGATAGTTCTTTGGAAGGAGGCTGTATTGGCATTTCAGCACCCCCTCTGCAACTCACTTCACAAGTAGAATTTTTAAAATGTTTGCTGAGTAAATGAGGATAATGAGTTGAAGATGATTTTCATTGTCTTGGTTTAGGTGACTAGGTATATGAAGTTACCATTCAATAAAGTAGGAGACTCTCAAAGAGGAGTCGGTTTATAAGGATTTTTTATGAAATTTGCTGAGCTTAAAATATCTTAGTACTTTCATTATCTCAATTTGTCCTGATCTTTGGACACAATTTTAGCAATTTTTTCTGCATGGAAAAGTCATTTACTCTTCAAACAGCCTAACGTTGCTTCTCCCTCACTTATTTCCTCTCCTCAGACATTTTTCTTTTCTTGTTTTAGTGTCAACTGACAAAGCATGGACTGAGAATGAGAAAGCAAGTTCAGAAAAAGAGGTTTTTGAAAATGGAGATGTCTACTGGGTGAAATGTAACAGTCTCCTAAAAGTTGGTTCCCAGGATGCTGTGGTTAGAGAAACTTGTGTACAGGATGTCAAATTAGGGAATCAGTGTGAAACATTCATAAGGGAGAAATTGAAAGAAGAGAAAGAAGGCTCTGAGAAAGCGATCTTTAGAAAAGGAAAGAACCAGAAGGTGCTTAGAAAAAACTTCAATCCAAACTCAAAACATATTCCATATAATAGAGTTCTTACAGCACAGAAACTCCATGAATGTGCCAGATGTGGCAAAAACTTCAGTTGGCATTCAGATTTAATTCTTCATGAGCGAATTCATTCTGGTGAAAAACCCTATGTGTGTAATGAGTGTGCGAAGCCATTTACGACCAGAAGTCAGCTTTCTATGCACCAGATAATCCATACTGGGGAGAAACCCTTTAACTGCACCCAGTGTGGGAAGACCTTCAACAGTAGATCAGCTCTTTGCCGACATAAAAAAATCCACAGTGGAGAGAAGCCTTATGAGTGCAGGGTCTGTGGGAAGGCCTTCAAGACCAGGAACCGTCTCTATATGCATCAGCTCATCCACACTGGGGAGAAGCCTTACAAATGTAATTGCTGTGGAAAAGCCTTCCAGTTTAAGCATTCTCTTACCATCCATGGCAGAATCCACACTGGGGAGAAACCATATGAATGTGAGGAGTGCGGGAAGGCCTTCAGTGGAAGTTCAGACCTCACCAAGCACACAAGAATACACACTGGGGAGCGACCTTATGTTTGCAACGAGTGTGGGAGGGCCTTTAGTCGCAGCTCAGACCTAAGCAAACACAAACGAATCCACACTCGAGAGAAACACTATGGGTGCCCCCAGTGTGGAAAAGCCTTTGATATCAAGGCAGAGCTCACCAAACACAGAAGGATCCACACTGAAGAGAAACCTTACAAGTGTGAAGAATGTGGGAAAGCCTTTCGTCATAACTGTAAGCGCAAGGCTCATGAACGAGAACACACCGGTGAGAAGCCCTATCCATGTGGGGATTGTGGGAAAACTTTCCAGGATCGGCACTGCCTTACCATCCATCAGAGAACCCACACTGGAGAGAAACCTTATAAATGCTCGGAGTGTGACAGAGCTTTCAGTGGGAAGTCAAACTTGGTCAATCATCAAAGAATCCATACTGGAGAGAAACCTTACAAATGTGAGGTGTGTGGAAAGGCCTTTCATCATAGTTCAGTCCTGAGGCAGCACAAAAGAATTCACACTGGTGAGAAGCCATATACCTGTAATGAGTGTGGCACATCTTTCCGTCAGGGCTCAGCTCTAATTGGACATAAGCGAGTTCATACTGGGGAGAAACCTTATGAATGTGAGGAATGTGGAAAAACTTTCAGAGTGAGCTCAAATCTTACTGGACATAAGAAAAGAAAACATCGAGGAAAATCCATGAATTTGATGAGAGTAGGAAGTCCCTCTCTCCAGTAACTGTTTCTCAGACCTTCTCAGTCGTCAGCATTTTGACCACCAATGCCTGAGTATAATGCTTCTGGTGTTTGCACTTTTCCTTCCTCCTACCTCTTAGACTGATCCTTCTCATCTCTGATTTTGGTTATTCCTGATTCCTTGACCTTTATTTGTGAGATTACCTAGATGTCTTTTACCTTCCTATCAGTATTTATTTTTTCAGTGAGCACATTCACTTCCAAGACTGTCAGTCACTTCATAATAATAATAAAAATACTTACTAGTGCTTGCTATGTGCCAGTCACTGTACTAAGGATTTTACATCATTTAAATAATTAAATCCATACATTTCTGTAAGATCAGAAACTTACCCAATATCACATAACTAGTAAATTTTGCACAAAATGACCCTCAAATGTTCAGGCTTACGAAGGCAATTCCCATATGCATGCACCATATCTTTTGGACATGAAGCTATACTTCAGTTCAACACAAAACAGTTTTTTAATTGATAAACATTGGTCATTTTTAGCCAGGTTTTTTTTTTAACATACAGTACTTTTCCATATTGTATCAGGATTGCTGAGATTCACAGTAAAAAGGAAGGCAGTAGGGAGGGCAGATTTAGAAATTACAGATAAAGGTTACTTAGCTATGCACTGCTCACATCTAGAAAGAGCATGAAGCCTGCCCCAGTTTTGAATTACAAAATTTTTCTCAATGTTTAATTTTTAAATATTTGCTATATTTGTATCACATGAAATGCTCTTTCAAATTTGTTAGTGTGTGTGTGTGTGTGTATATATATATATATATATATTTTTTTTTTTACACACACACA